ACTCAGGCCAAGGGGGCCCGGCTTCCTATCCTACAAGATGGAGCTTTGGGCACACAATGGCTGGGTAGCTGTAGTACTTGGGCCACTTAGGGAATTAATGATAGATATTCTTATAGATTTTTTAAACCACGTCTCATGAGCATGGGGCCAGGGAGGGTAGAGGATAAATTGAGTTAAATTGGTAATGAGCTTCTTTCTCACTGTGCTTTGAAGATGCTCACCTAATCTTCTGACTCTGAATAAGCAATTTGGCTGCCTAATTAGGTTAACCAATAACTTCCCTTTTGACACCTAGGCTGCATGATAATTTGGGGGTAACCGTGATTCTCTTTCATCATTTCTTTTCTAGATGCATTTCGCGATTTGCCTCTGGGATTAAAGCACGGAGTAGATTCTCACTATTTGCTAGACCTACCATGCCTCTTCACACATGCCTCTAAGCCTTGGCTTGTGCAATTTCCTCTGCTGGGAATGCCTCTCTTGGAGCCCTGATGCTTAGCGAAATCCTCCGTGGCCTTCAAGCCCAGGTGCATAACGTGAGTGGAAAGAAGGAATAAGCCTTTGAACCCTCAGGGTAAAACCAATGGCTACTTTTACTGTCATTCCACAGCTCCTTGAGAAATTAATATTAATAGCTCGCATTAATTAAGGACAAACACAGACCACATGCGTCACAAATGTTGTAGCTCATAGTAACATGTCAAGGAAAGAAGATGATATGCTCTTTGTGTGTGTGTGTGTGTGTGTGTTTATTGTGGTAAAACATATATAACCCTTTAAACCAGTGCTAAGTGTACAACTCAGCAGCATTAAGGACATTCACACTGCTGTACGGCCATCAGACTATGCATCTTCAGAATTTCTGCAGCACCCCTAACTTCCCATCCCCCTCCTCTCCGTCCCTAGCAACCACGGATATGTTGTTGCAGAAGTGAGGGAACCATGGCTCGGGGAGGACGGGGGACTTGCCCAAGGTTTCAGAGCTGGACGTGGCACCGCAAGGATATGAGGCCAGGCCTCCTCATTAGACTCCAGAGCCGCTGCTCTTTCGACCCCGCAATGGTGCCTGCTACCCCTCCCCTGTAGACAGAGACCCAAGGATGTCTGTCATGTCTCCACCCCCCTGCTATTCATCTAGACTCCTGATTCTAGAATGATGCCCAGCACACTGAGGGAGCTTGGGATAGATGGAGAACAAATTACAATAGGAATCTATAACAGAGACATCGTGTCAACCAGAGCCAGTGGTTGGGAATGGAGCTCAGATCATGACCTTTGCTTTCTAAAAAACACTTACTGAGCACCGACCGCGTGCCTGGCCTGTCGCCTAGCCTGCGGGCCCCACCTCAGCATGAGAGGCCCGAGGGCTGGCTGTGCCTGACGGCCCTGGGGTGGAAGATTTGTGTTTCTGTTACCCAGTCAATCCTGTATTTATTTTGGATATTAAGCAGTGACATAAAAGCTGCTGACATTAACCTTCAGGGGCAGAAATTGGCTTTAATGGACCCCATAAAAGTTATTATTGATGGCTGCTGCGTGCCGCATCACTGTGACCTCAGCAAAAGCCTCCACCACTATCAATACTGTTGACAATTACTATTGACTAATGCAAGGCCGGGCGGGGAGGCAGAGTGGATGTTCCTTCCCGTGGCTGGAAGTCACTGGGGGTTACTTTGCTTTCACCTTTGGTCAGGATCTCTGAGAACTTGGTCACACATTTTTGGTGGCCTCAATTGAGAGTCCAACACTTACTGATTCAAATGGACCTGGGCAAAGGGCTCAGACTATAAGATTGCAGAGATCTGACTTCCAACCCAAGCTCTGCTGACCTGCTGACTTAACCAGCTACGTAGTCTCTGCTAGGTCAGTTGACCTTTTTGGAGCCTCAGTTTTCCCATCTGGGAAATGGGAATGCCATGGCATCTTCATGAGGATTAAAGGCAATTACACATGAGCAGTGGCTTGACACATGGTGGGCCCTCAGGATGGCTCCCCCATACTCCCGAAAAGCAGCCACACGGTGAGGGGCTGGCTAATGCACCCAGTGCAACAGAGCCCCGTTCTGGTGCTAAGACCTGAGTTCTCATCAGAGAAGGAGAACTGGGGCCGGGGATGAATGCAAGACAAAGAGAGGAGGGCAGGGGAGGGAGAGGGAGATGCGAGGGGCAGCAGCCAGGACAGAACCAGACTCCTGTGTAGGGCCTGGCTCCCACTCTTGCCATCTTCACCTCCTGGGCCCCTCAGCTGTAAGCTGGGGAGACTGTGGTGTGAACAAGAGCGCTGTCGACCTCATCAGCAGATAAAAGGGAGCCATTCCTACGGCGCATGAGCTGTCAGTATGATTGATCGTCACCGTTTAGACCCTATGAGTGTAGCTTCCTAGCTAGCGGCAAGTGGACAGGCACGCGGGCACCTGCGGGTGTCTGGGCTTGGGGAGTCCTGGCCTGGAAGGGCTGTGGAGGCCAGCGGGCCTTCATTAGGTTCACCTGCCCACCTCCTTCACCTGCCTGTCTTCCCTGAGTATAGCGAGGCTTAAGTGCTGCAGCCAGCGTTGAAAGGGACGATCAGAAGGAAAAGGTGGCCAGGCCAGGGGAAGCAGGCGGCCATTTCCTGTCCCCCTCATCAAAGGCAGAAGCTCTTCAGGCTCCTCGACTCTGTCACTATCACCCAACAGAGGCTTAATTCAGCTGTAATTCAGCTCTCAGGGAATATACAATAATGTGGGTGGTGTGCACCTCACTCTGTCATGACTTTATGGAAAAATGATCTTTTGTCACCATGGCAAGAAGCCTTCAAAAGAACAAACAGCCCAAGTCTTTTGCTGCAGAGGAAATTCACTGTCACCAGGGCTACAAGGATAAAGATTTTTAGAGCCATAGAGGCCTGAGTTCAAATCCTGTCTTGCTGTGTGACTTCAGCAGGTATCTTAACCCCTCAGCGCACAGTTTCCTTATTCTGTGCAAAAGGGATAATAAAACCTGCTTCAGAGGGATGTTGGGTGGGGGAGATGAGATGCTAGAATCAAAGCACTGGTACTGTGCTTGGGGTCTGCAGCTCAGCAGCAGCTACTCAATGTTGCTACTGTCCTTTTCTTCTCGTGCACCTTCACCTGAATGTAAGCACTTTGAGTCACAGAACCCCAGATCCAGAAGGGCCTGCAGGTCATCCAGCTCAATTATTCCCCAACGATGTTCATCAGAACACTGAACCCATCAGACACTCTGAGAATAAAGGGTTCCATGCTCAGATCAACTGGGGGAATGCTGCAGATCCTTGGGGATTTACCTATTAGCATGCACATTTTAATAAAGGCTCTGAGAAGTCCTTCAGTAAAGAAATTGGTTTAAATTCATTCAACATAGTGCTTCCTACATTATTTGACCACAGAGCACTTTCCTGCTGTCATCCCCACCCCAACCTAAGAACATTAACATTCTCAGATACAGGAAATGCAGATTTGGTTTAAACTGCTTATTTTATAGATGAGGAAACAGAGGCCCAGAGAAAGGATCCAACTTATCCAGTGGCACATCCCAGGTCAGTGATGGAACTGAGGCTTCCTGCCTCTTAATCAGAGACCATTATCTCTGTACAGGCCTCACACATCAAATCCCTGCTCTGGTTCAGCGCATGGTGGGAGTGGAGAGAGAAGGGGCTGCTGGCTTGGCCTAGGCCTCGGTGAGAAGGTGGACGAAGGAGTGTGGATGTCTTGTCACCGCAGAGAGGGGGATCTCCTTCAGGTGCTGAGGTCACTGGCCCTCTCACAGGGCTGGTTGGGGGTCAAGGGAGGGAGACAATGCCAAGCCAGCATATGGCACTGCTTCTCCCCTTCCCCCCAGACAGGTGCACAGGCTCCCTAGGAAAACCTCCGAGCTCTCCAGGAGGGGTGGTGGAATGGATATTTGGAACTCTGCTGCATCTGACACTTTAAGGAAATAAATTTCCCACCTGACCCTGACCTTACCTGGTCTCCTGCCTGACTCCAGATCTGGGATTGTGTTGTGTATAACCTAGCTAGAGCATCCTTTTCAAAGACTAAAACTGCCTAAGCCTTCACCTCTGATGTGGTCCCCACCCTGACTCTGGGGAATCCTGGACAGGAATCACTAGGATCCTGCATTTGGAGCTGGAAACAGTAGGGGGCACTGGTGCCTGGCTTGGCCGAGTTTTCACTCACATTGCCCTTCTCACTCTGGTATGGAAGCACCAGCAGACCTCCTCATTAAACTTCTGAGAAACAAAAGCCCTCTCTTCCCCTGGGCAGAGGGGCTGTCCCTGGTCTCTGCCACCCTCCCCAAGACTTCGCTGCCAGACCCAGTGGGTGCCTTCTCAGTTCTCACCTGGGTCCACAAAGCTGCCCAGAGCGTGGCAGGGCACAAAGGGCAGGGAGATTGCCTGAGCAGCACCCTGCAGGGCTGCATCTAACCCAGAGCCCCTCAGACATCTGCCAACAAGGTCCCAAAAGGAAGGAGGAAAGTTCTGAAACCAGGTTCCCTTTCTTCCACCTTAAAAAGGAGGCATGTACACTAGCCCTCTTCTTTTTCTCCCACAACATCACTTGGGCCTTGGAAGAAGGGCTGCAGAGGTGAGAGGGGGATAGAAAGCCCAGAGCCTGCATGTCCCCAGATCTGCAGCTGAGATCAAGGGAAAGCGGGAGCAAATCCTCAAGTTTTAAGTTACCCCAACATGACAGTTTTTGTTTAAGACCATTCTCTGACCAGCATAAGACCCTGGGGCAGGGCGTACCTGTGGCGACTGCCCAGGACTACTGAGCCCCTGGAGACTGGAGGCTGAGCAGGATTCAGGCAGCACCAGACACGGCTGACGCGATGGACAACAAGCTGCTGGGGACCCGTGACCACTGCTCCCCCACACAGAGGCACCCTGCAAGGAATCACCCCGTGCTTTAGGCACCCCCCGATCTGGAAACAAAGAGCAGCGACCCAATCTCTGGTGTGTCACCTGTGGGTGGGTATTTCGGGTGACTGTGCAAGAGGCTCTGACTTCTGACCACTGAGAGCAAAGCAATTTTTCCACCAAGGTCACCAGAGCCCCAGCGATGGAGCAGAAAATCAATATTGTAATGAAAAGCCTGGCCTCGAAAGCCAGGCGCCTGGCACAGGCCGCGCGGGCCACTCACCAGTCTCGGTGTTCTCGTGCTCCGTGTCGGTGAGCGTGAGGTTGGAGTTGGCCCGGCTGGACAGGCAGGAGCTGCGCCCCGACCGTGTGCTCCGGCCCCACAGCTGCACGGGGTGCTCAGGGGACAGCACGGTGTCGGCCTCCACGTCGGCGTCGGAGCTGGCCCCCATGGAGTAGCCGCAGTGCGGGAGGCCTATGTCTGTCCGGTACAGGGTCCCATGAGGGGGCGTCACCTGTCCCAGCCCCAGCTCCCGCAGGCTGAAGTTGGCTCCTGGGAGGAAAGGCAGGTGAGCATGGTTAGGGTCTCCCCGCCAGAAACCTGACCCCTCAGCCCGGGATTCACTGTTGTGTTTGCAGCTTGCGTGGTGTTCCGCACACAGGCCTCTCTGCCTAAACGGCTCCTCGCCCCTCCTCCACCAGCCCAACTCCTCCACATCCTTTAAGGCCCAACTCATACAGCACCTCCTTTGTGAAATTCCCCCTCATACCTACACCATGTGCGGCAGTCATTGCTTCTTGCAGCCAAGGTCCCTCTGAGAGTCCTTGGCCCCGGTCATCCCACACAGTAGGACCAAGGGCCTGACCCTTCCGCTGCTGCTGACCTCAACAGAGGCAGGGACCATGTCAGACTCATTCCTAAATGGGGCTCAATAGATGTCTGTTAAATTGATGTCTGGTCCAGGGAGGAGTTGGCAGAAAGCAGCGCTCCTGAGCAGGGCAGACGCCTAGTTGAGGAGATGCAGATGGCTGCCCCAGGACCAGAAGGTCTTTCTGGCCAGGTCAGGAAAGCCTGGAGCATGACATGGAAGATGGGGACTGGCAGAGAGAAGTGGGCCTCGCACAGGCCACGGGCTCTGCCTTCCGCTTCCTCATGCCACGCGGGGCTCGGGACTGTGGTGAGAATCCGCAGGCTTTGGAGTAATCCAGGGAGCCAGAGCTGGGTTGCTGAGAGGTCTGGAGGGCTCAGGAAGGCCTGGCGATGTTCAGGACTGAGGCCAGGGAAGACATGGGTGGGGGGAGTTCCCTTGGGGATTTGTATTTGAGTAATATTTCTCCTTCCATAGTAAACACAGCTTCCATGTTACCTGAATGTTCATTCAATGTCTATTCAAGGACAGCTTCTCCCATATTTCTAATATTCCCATGAGTGGTTTGGGGGTGAGAAAGAGGGGGTGGACAAAGGCACCAAGGGCCATATCCCAATTAAACCACTGATCTGGCAGAGGGCAGGAGCTCAGAAAAGAGGTCTGCTGACGACAGTGAACTTGGAGAACAGAGAAAGAAGAGATATCTGAGCTTGGAAGGATTCCTGCAACCAGGGCCAGGGCTGAATAGGAAAGCCTGCAAAGGCAAGTGAGCAGGTCTCCTCCCCTGGTCCAGGAGGGGACCTGGCAGAGAGGGAGGAGGGGAGACAGCAGGAGAGCTCCGACCACAGTCGTGGGCATCACTCGGCAAATCAGCCCTGTGCTCCTCAGTGTCCCAGGCAGCTCTGGGTGCAGCACCTCTGTCCTGGCACAGAGTGGGTACTCCGTACAAGTTGTAAGAAAACAGACACGCTCTGGCAGGACTTTGGTGGATGGATAGAGAGAGAGGGAAGGAGGGGAGAAGAGACCACCTGGGCCGCTGCTGAAATCAGAGCTGCGGCCGGGGGGGGGGTGCCCCAAGCCACCCATGCTCAGGTGGGGTTCATGCTGCCCCAGCCTTAATTTGGCTACAAATTTGAAACAGTTCTATACTGGCTGGCAACTGATGCCCGAGTCTCGTCCCACCCAGTGCCCCCCACCTCTGCTCTGTCTACTTCAGCCCCTTCCCTAGAAACAACCCCTGGCCTCCCCGTGATGCAGCACAGCAGGGGCCTCTGAGCTCTGCTCAGTGGCCAGGCAGACGTCCGCGGTTGGTCAGGGTATAGGTCAGACGGATGTTAAATATTTTGAATATCACGCTATGTGCCATACTCCAGTCTGCCCTCCATTTGTGCTCTCCTTCTAAGTAGAAGAAACTCCAAATTGGAGCCTAAATCCCAATCCCCTCAGTCTGTGTCCCACCCTCTCTGCACACCATCCTCCCTGCTTGCCCCATTTACCTCTCTCTGATCTCCCTTCTCCACCCCTGTCTCGTTCCCCGCCCCAGCCCCCGCTCATATTCCTGCCCTGATGGGCTGGCCCTCTCAAGGGAGGCCAGTCACACACTAGAAGAATGTGAAATAAACAGCGCAGGCTGCATCCATTTCCACGTGGCTTGTGTGCCCTACATGCCCGTTTAGGCAGCCAGACTCAGCGTGAGTATGAGTGAGCTGAGACATCTCAGGACTGAGAAATGCAAGGTGAGGGATGATTCTAAGGGTTCCCTGATCCCTGTGAGCCAGCCCAGCCCCCCTGAGGTGGGAGTTTAGGAGATTTATTTCACCAAATGTGAGAAATCCTTATGATCTGTTTGCTTTATGTCCTTTTGGCCTCTTTCCTCAGGATCCCAGGACATGGGAGGACATACCACCTCACTCAACATCTAGTTGTGCAATCTTGGGCTGGTGCAATCACTGGAGCCTCAAAGTTCCTCTCTTTAAAATGGGGATGATAATCTACGACCTGCTACCCTCACAGAATTTTTAGGGATCAAGGGAGGTAATGGATAGGCAAGTACTTTGTAGACTACCATGGCCAGGCCTGCCTATGACATGGGAATGCTTTTGACTTATTATTGATAAAGACAAGGGGGGGGGCTCTTCTCTGCAGACTCATGTGCTAGGGTGACACACAGGCTAAATGGGGCCAGTCAGGGCTGGCTGAGCTCTATCAAGCATGGGCAGAAGACAGCTGGAAGAAAGCTTTGATACCAGTTTGTCCCTTCCCTTCCTTGAGACCCAGAGAAGGCAATTCATGGTAGCACCTGCCCCATGCCAGGCATTGTGTCAAGTGCTTTATTTACAATCCTCATTAATCCTCAGGAGCACCCTACTATTAGGAGTCATCACTGGTATCCCATTGCCCAGGTGAGGAAGCTGAGGGTAGTAAAAATGGCAGATCCAGAATTCAAATCCAGATCTGTCGGTTGCCAGTCTGAACTCTAAACCACAAGCTGGATAAGAGCTAAAGACCCTTCCTCTTCCAAGCCTGAGAGGCAGCCTTACTAACAGGTCAGCCCTCATGTGGATTCAGTCCTGTGAGAGGCCTGGTGGGTGTCAGGCTATATGAGGGGGTGTGTGTGTGGCCAGTTCCTCTTACCTCTGGGACCTGGGGCAAATGATGCAGCTTGGTGTTGTTGTAAGGATTAGATAACAATGCCAAAACATAGCTAAACTACACAGCACACTGCCTGGCTAGCCCTGGCTGGAAGGGGAGCCAGTGGGGCAGAATCAGCCACCAGCAGTAGCCCATCGGGCATCACAGAAGGCTCACAGCTCTTTAGGCAGAAAAACAGGAATCACTGATGCACCAGGGTAGGGAAGGAATACCATGGCATGCGTGGGAATGATGAGTAGCTCTGCAGGGCTGGAGCGCTGGTGGTAGGGTGTGGGGAGGGAGGGGATGAAACAGTCCAGGGAGAGAAGTGGATTTGGGGAAAGGCCCTTATGCCAGGTAAAGGAGCTCAGATTGAGGGCAATGGGGAGTCATTCCCAACCTCACTCTAGCTGCAGTGCACAGAATGGCCCAAAGGGGGCAGCACTGGGTAAAAGGGGCTGTGGTCAACCCTCCTGGAGAGATGACAGTGGCCTGAACTGGGACAGTGGCAGAGTGGGTGAAGGAGAGGGATGGATTTGAAAGGTATTTCGGAGTAGGATGGACAGGCTTTGGTGACGACTATATTCAGGAAGTGAAGGAGAGGAGTCAGGTGCCAGGATGTTAGGTCTATCTCAGGATCGTCTTCCTCCCAAGGTTAGGACAATGCTTGAGGCAAAGAAGGTGATTTATTTGTTGAATGGATACATATATGACAAGTAAAACCAACAGCTGCTTGATGTTAGTATGCTTACCACTTACAACACGTCGCTCTTCAGCAGCGGGAGACTACTCAGGCCCATCTGCCAGATGAGGACTGAGGCCTAGAGGAGAGCCGTGGGGGTTCTGAACTCAACTCTGGGCAGCCCAGCTCTCAACCACCTCTTTATGCCAACGGACCGGGTGAGCGTGAAGATGAACAAACTAAGAATGAGTTACAGGCAGGCTCCGTCCAGATCCAGGTGCCAAAAGAGCCGAGGCCCGGCGTTGACCCGCGTCCAGCCCGCCTGCCTGCTCACGTGCCCACGCACCCGGGTGCTCACCTGCCCCCAGCCCCGCCCCTGGCCGCCCTCACCTGCGCGGCAGAACTCCTCGGCCTCCTGCGGCACCATGTCCTTGACGCGGCCGCCATAGGCCAGGCGCGCGTCCTGGTCGTAGGCCTTCAGGGTCTCGCTGGAGCTGTAGGACTTCTGCGGAGCCTTGCCCTCCTCGCTGTCCGCCGACGAGCTGGTGTAGCGGCGCTCGGCGTCGCGGCGCCGGGTCAGTGAGCGGTACGGCTTTCTCTCCTTCACGTCCATGGCCTCCGGCCCGCGCTCCTCCACATCCACGAACAGGGTCCTCGCGGCACTCAGGGCCGAGCGGTCTGGAGTCGGGGAACCAAAGACAGGGCGTGAGCTCAGGCCCCAGGATGCAAAGGCAATACCGCAGTCTATCCTGGACCTGACTGGCCCCGCGAGGCTGGGGAGGAGGGACTTCAGACTTGGAGGGGTGCGGGCGCCGTTCCGCTGGCCACACACAAGCAGAGGGGGCCCTGCCCTCAGGGCCCCTGATGATGAATCCTGGCCCCTCCTGCTACTCTGCCTGCCCACCAGGAAGATGCCTCAGCCTCTCTTCCAGTGATGGGTATCAAGGAAGTCGGCATCAAAGACCAGGGGACACTGATTTCCGTAATCCCTCTACATGGGAATCATGTGTTTGTTCCCATCATGTCCCCAGCTGGGACAGGGCCTGACACAGAGCAGGGGCTCCCTAAGAATTTGTGAAATGAATGACCATACTCAGGCACTGGCGTAAATATAAATTGGCATAAATCTCTTCCTCCCCAAGACCCCCTCCAGGGCAGGTCTCAGCCTGCACTCCACAGCAAACTCTGTTCATCTCCTTAAAGAGCTCTCTTTGAGCTATGAACAAATGGGCCCATATGTTCTAACCTGGAAAGCTCCATCACTTTACTCAGCCGAAGAATGGTCTGAGGTTACCACTTGGCATCTTTGGGATTCATCATGGATCCCAAGTGTCTACTGTAGACTTCCTTCTATGTGTTTTCCATGATTCAGAGTGCAAACATTTCTGATTTTACTGGTGCCCCATAATAACCATAAAGCATATAAGACAACTATTTTAACTCCCATTTTATACATGGAGCAACAGTGACCCTGAGTCAAGGCCACAGGGTGCATCAGTAACCAAGCCAACATTAGTAGACTGACAATGCCTTGGGGTTGCAACTAGAGACAATCAAGATGTGTAGGTGATACTTTTTGGGACCTAGTTCTCAAAATGCCCCTGGAAATTAGTTCGAAACTGACCTAGGATACACAGAAATCAAATCATCTTACTGGGGCCCAAACCCACAGTTCTGACCTCTGGCTTCTTAACCTTCAGCCTCCTGGCACTGGCTGAGCACCTGAGGGGCAGGGCTGGAGGGAAGACCGGTGATAATACTTTCTACCCCAGGGTCTGTAAAACCTTCTTGCCTGCAATCCATAATTTGAAAAGCATCATACATTGTGGCTGGATACATATATATATGTATGTGAATGCGTGTGTTTATGTGTATAAAATGGAAAAAAGATTCACAAAACCGAAGTGACTGCAATGATGAGCAACGTACTCTGATATTTCCTATTTCATTCTCGTTCACTTTTTAAAAAAGGCTGATTATAACTCCCTAAATTGACCCAGTAGTAGCTTTTGACCCAAAGCACTTTTCTGGTCTAATTTGAATGAGGATGTATGGCGACTGTCACCTAGCCTCTGTGACCTCTGGCCCTTTACCTCCAGCCCATCCCCCCGAGTGACAATAATGGTGATGATAATCTAGAGTAAGCACTATAGTAATGTTGGCCACTGTGACTAATAATTCATAATATCAATAATGGTTTCACAATAAGAGCCAATATACTGTAGTAACTAATACTTATTGAGTATTTACTTTCACTAATATTATATGTGATACTATTTTAATCCTTACTTCTATTCCGTAATATAGGTATGATGATTATCTGCAAATTACAGATGGGAAATTGTGAGGTTAAGTATACTGCCCAAGGTTACATGGCTCTTGATTGGTGGAGCCATCATCCTGACCCAGGGGTTGAACTCGGCACATGGGTACAACCACTCGATTTTGGCTCTGTAGGCTATGCCACATAAATCTCCTAAGCCCAGATCACGCCGCTGCCCTGCTTACGCCTCCGTAGCAGCTCTGTGGAGGCTTCGGGATAAATTCCAGTGTCTTGGTCAAAATGGAAGGCTATTCTTTGATCTGGCCCAACTCACTTCCTTCTCACTGAGCCACTTGCAACTTTCCTGGACATTAATTCTGCGGCCTCTCTATCTCTGTGCCTGTTGATTTATCATTGTACATCCAGGTAACTGGATGGTGTGTATCCACGTCGGCCTCTGCCCTTGACTGCAGTTCCTTGAGGACGGGCCTGGCATCCAGAGCTCATGAAATGTGTGCTAAATGAATGAAAGAATAAAATTACGACAGCTACTTTTTTACTTCTTACCAATCGTCAGGTGGTATAAAATATTGGTAGTTTGACTTAGGTACATCTAAAATTGAACTGAAGGCATTGCTTAGATGCATTCTTCTTAAAATTTCAAAAAAAGTCTATATTTGAAGTATGTGTCCACCGTTTATTTAGCAGCGGTGTGACCCAGGACAAGTTATTTAACCTCTCTGTGCTTCAGCTTCCTCATCTGTAAGACAGTACCAGCCTCTTAGGGTTGTTCTGAGAATGAAATGAGTTAATACACGCCCCTGGGAGATACTGTCACTAATACATAATGGGTGCTCAATAAATGCTAGCCATTATTATCATCAGAAAAAAACCCACATTTTATTTGTAAAAGGCCCACTTTAGAAGGCTCCAGCTGAGTGTCAGTTATAATTGGAGAAGGAACATCCCCTCGGAAACATATGTTAATGAGGCCGAGACACATTTGAGGCTGTTAAATTGGTGGATGACTATGTCTTCTTATCAGTGTGAGCCTGCTGACCGAAGGCACTGTCTTCAAGGCAAAGGCTCAGTAACTACGAATTATTAAGAACACAGCCCTGAAACCCACGGCTTCCCTGTCACAAAGCAGAGGCAGGGAGAGCATTTGCCTTGCTCCCATTCCCTTTTTATTTTATTTTTTTTTTCTGTTTTAGGCTTAATATAGTAATCCAGTAAACAGTATATTTTTTTTTAAGAGAAGGAGGTCGGTCACGGTTCACACTCGGCTTGGCATTTAATAGAGGAGGAAGAGGCTGGGACGCAAGAAGTGACAGGGGAGAAGAGCTCCCCCAGGAGCGAGGGTCCGCAGTCCAGTGACTCGGAGACCTGGCGGGAGGACGGAGGAATGTTGGGGAAGGGACTGGCTTGGACCCACCCACCGCGACCCTCCTCTGCGGGCTGGGCAGCAAGGCACCCCATACACGTTCATGTGTAAACATGTCAGTCCCTCCCTACCCTGATTACCAGGGGTTCCCCACACCCCAAAGTCCATTAGCCTGACCTTCCTGACCCTCCCTCTGCCCCTTCCCACAGCTCGCAGAGCACCTAGCTTCTCCCAGATGCACACCCTCTGTTTCTGTCCCTCAGAGCTGCTGATCATCTCTCTTGACTGTCACTGAGCTTCCACATCCCTGTTTCACTGGGTTCACCTGAGGGAGGCACCTGAGGGAGATGGGGCAGGAGGGTGTAGGCAAGAGGGGGCAGTGCTGCTTCTCTGCTCTCTCCCTGCCTTGTAGTCCTTTGTCTGCTCATCGGATGCGAGGTGGCCCCTCTTCCAGGCCTCTTTCAACATCCTTCCCTGCGCTCACCTGTCCACGCCCAGGGGGTGGGGGTTGGTCCCCGTTTCCTGCCACCACTAGACCCTGGGTGTCTCACCATCCTGACTGGCTCTCCTCACCTGCCCACACTTCTGTCCCTTCATTAAGGTGGGTTCATTTAAAGCATCTGGAGCGGATCCTGTTTCCTGGGGGATCCTGACCCCTTACTATCTGGTTGACTTTCAGTAATCATCGGGACCCATCATCATCAGAGTAATAAACCCACAGCCCCTGCTTACTCGGGGCTTACCGCAGGCCCGACGCTGGGCGAAGTGCTTGTGTTAGGTGATCTCATTTAGTACTCACCATCCCACGCTGTAGCGGTCCCTCTTAACGATAAAGAGAACCCGAGGCTTACAGAAGTTAAGTAACTGGCTTAAAGCCACACAGTCAAGAAGTGGATCAAGAGCCGGATCCATCGACCATCCTTCCCACAGCCCTCCACCACGCACTGTGATGGAACGAGCTCCACGGTCCTTCTCCAGCCACCCCATGGCTATGGGCCTCTGGCAAGTCAGGTGTTGGCTTTGTTAGATGCTTTGTGAACTACAATGTACCTTATATCTGTAGGCATAAGGGATTGGAGAAGGACTACTCTCAGCGTCATCATGGTCATCATTATTGACATGTTGCTATTTCTGAACCACAAATCCTGTAACTGCACACACAGAGCATGTGTGAGACTCCGGCCTGCTCCCGAGGTGTGGCTGGCTGAAACTCTTCTCTGGGTGAAGCCCGGGCACCATGAAGGTGCCTTCAGGGAGGAGTTCATTCCCAAAGCCCGTTCCAGACAGACCTGTGCTGGGCACTGGGCCCGGAGATGAGCAGGATGGGAGCTCTCTCTCCAGCGTGTCAGGCCCAGGGGCAACCATGGGTGCTTTGATGAGCATGACCTGCGGTTCTACACGTTTCTCCTGATGCGGACATGGGTATCATTCTTGGCCTCTCTCTGGGGAAGGAGAATGGGCCCCGGACAGGAGAAGGGAAGAAACACAGATGCATCAAGCCCTGTATGCAGGGCTTTCCACCCTGACCTGTAAGAGCTCTGGTCATTTATCATTTCAGAGAGCGGGCGACACGACCCGGGTGGTTGGTCAAATTCACACAGTCGGTAGCTGACTCTAAAATCTACATTTTAGGCTTTTTTCTTTTATACGGAGCTGGGCTCCAATAGACCTGGAAGGTTTGAACAGGTCTGTGAATGTGGGGAGGCCCGGGTTGGGGACGGTGATCAGGGGATGATCTCAGATAGGAAAAGAGGTAATCACAATAAAACAGCCACCATTTATCAAACCCCTACTCGTGTGCTGGGTATTTTGTACATACTATTCTTAATCTCTACAACAATTGTGCGGGTTAGATAGATCCTCTTTTATATTTTCTCTTATTTACTCTTATTGTACAAATGAGATGATGAGCTTAAAGAGATTAAGGGACTTGCTCTAGATCCCGTAGCTTCCAAATGTCAGGGCCTAGATTTGAATCAGAAGGAAATGTTTAAACCTCATGAAAGGTATTATACACCTCGTACCATAGGT